GATAATGAATGACACTCAGAGAAACCTTGCTAGCAGACACCCTGACTGGAAAGGGACAAGGTCTCTTCAGTTCTCTATTGAGTTAGACAAATGGTATTGCTTTGTTTAATGTATCAAGTTCATGCTTGAATTCAATTAGGTTTCTTGCTCCTTCTTCAGGGTTAAGAACTAAAACTCTTAACTTTTGCTGCTGTAAGAATTATCCAAAGACAGATAATTTTGTCCATGTAATTCCATATTCAAAACAAACCTTTGCTGCTCTTCTAGCTGTTAGTAACTCCAAAGTAGGTAATAGTTTTCAACCTTACTCTGTTCATATAAATGCGTTTTTCTAGTACAATGGCAGATACTTCAAAGTTCATTTAAGTTCAACTGAGCTTCTACATAATATAAACCTATAAAAAAGTAGTATCAGAGCAATCTGGCACAGGGTTTCCTTTTTGTAAAACAACAAACAACAAAAAAATCACAAACAAGCAAAACAAAAACAAACAGAAAACCCCCAAAAAACAAAAACAAAAGGAAACACCACCACCCCAACCCACCCCCCCAAAAAAAAAACAAAACCAGACAAACCCCCAAAACTCCAAGTTTCGTTTTTACCATACTTTTATCTTCATGCTTTTAATTAATCTTTTTAAATTTAACTTTATATGGAATGAAGTCCTACGAGTGGATCTGAAGTAACTCGGGTAACTAATTTGATTGCTTAAAATAGCATTATTATATGTTGAATTAATGTATAGTGTCATCTTCAAATTAGTTATTTCTTAAGTTGTTGTGTTTTGGGTTTTTTTTGAACCAGTGAATTATCCTTTCTGGGAAAAGGATGATACTCTTTACCACAGAAATGATTCTATAAACATGGACAGAGCCCTAGCCATCTTCATTTGTGCTTTTGATGGCACAAAGAGATGAAAAGAATGCCTCTCCTACTGAGATGGGCTTGACAGTACTTTTGAAACTTTTAGACGTGGTTAGTTAAGACTTTCTGTAGTAAGCTTTGGAATATTCATGAGATAGCACAAATTACATGGATTCAACATTTTAGAAATATATTCAAGACTAATAAAACAAACCTTACAGTGTAACTTATTTTGTTATATCATATCCTCGTGTAAAATGAAATAAGCTGTGGCACAATATTTGAGTACTAATGCACACACATTAGATCAGCATTTTATGTCTTGTCCTGTTTATATGAATTCTAGTTGAAGAATGAATAAACTTTTCCTTTTCTTTGCTCCAGTTAGTACTGTGTGTATCTGATGGGGGACTGGAACTCTTTCCTGGAAAAGAAAGAGTATGGGGAGAAAAAGAGATTAAATGAACTCTGCTTCTAATAGCAAATATCCTTAGTTGGCATTGGGTAGTAGAGGCAAAAAAATAAACATAGAAAAAGTTAATATCACAGTTTGGTTTTCTCAGTGGAAAGCTACAAGGTAATAGTCACAGAGCATAGCATTTAAATTAAGCATGTGATTATCTTAATTAATGCCCAATGGTGTATGTATAATAATACTTTTTCTTCCTGTAGACATATATGTATACATATGTAAAATGTGTGGAAATTATAGTGATGTAGGTAAGCTCAAGGCATCTGTAGACAGAAAGGACTGAACCTGGCTTTCAAAGACCAGTCAATCCCTTCATCTGCTGGTTTGCGTTGGAGTTCTAGGCTCAGCACAGTATTTATGGAACAGATACCACTCATTTAATGCAGTGCTGTTCTTGTTTGAGGGTATTATTTCAGAAAGTGTCAGTTTAGGGCTCAGGGAAATAGAGAAGTTTGGCAAGAAGCACCAGAAGTCTTGGCTATGCTTCCTATATGAATCTCTGAGACAAAACTTTTCTTCAACTGTGTTCTCTTCTTACCTCTTGATAACTTGTACTGGATAATATCCCCCTCCCAGACTTTTCATTCTCTTGTGGTTAGACTAAATTGAGGGGTTTGGAGCAGAGGTACACCAGAATGTTTTATTTATTTATTTATTTATTTATTTTAAGAGCTGAATGGTTCTTGACCTCTGTGCAGAGAGATTTCACATAGTGACTTTTCTTTTGGCTAAGTGGATACATTGTGCTTAAATTTCTGCAAAGCAGAAGTTTTTCTGTTTAACCAAGCCTGCAAATCTAATGTGAATTGAATAATATTTAATTTGTAAAAGTTAAAGCTGAGAATTGTGTGGAAATATTAGGTTTTGACCTGGAAAAAAAACAGAGGAAAAAGAAAAGTTTTAAGTTAACTTCAGGTTTTCCGAGTTATTTACAAGACTCTTATTCAGACAGAATAAGCCAAAACAGCAAGGTCTCTGGCCCAGTTCCCTCTATGTATTTTGACAAGAAACAATATTAACAAACTAGTTTTCCTGTGACTCAATTCCTATTATTAGCTAGCTTTGCCCACCTATTTTATATTTTGTGTTAATGTAGACATGCAAAGCTTCATTTGATAGATGTTCCCCCAATTAAAATTCTAAAATTCATCTTCAGAATTTAATGTCTATAAAATATACTTTTCTTTCAATTTGTAAGGTATCCTTTTAGGATAAGTAGGCAGGAGCATGGAGGAAGCATTTAGAAAGTTGAAAAATTAGTCATCATCTCACTCTTGGCTATGTCACTTGCAGTAATAAAGCCATTGCTATTGCTTTGGGGTTTTGGCCGAGGGATTTACAGCATTATAGATGTACCTAGATATTCTACCACAGGTGCCAATAGCAGCTCAAGAGTTCAGGGTGTGTGAATGAATGTAGAGTTGTTTTATACAGTCCATGTTATAGGTAAAGCTACTGGTGTCTGAGCTAAATAGAGTGATGTTAGGTTACCCTCAACATGCTATGTTTCTGCTTTGATTTGTACTATAAACCTGACTATTAGGAAAAAGAAAAAGTGAAACTTCAGTAGCTGTACTGTTGAAGGCAAGATTTAACAGGCTACATTTTTTTCTTCTTTTTTTTTTTTTTGAGTTGTCCATCCTACTCACTTTTTAGATGTTGCAGGAAAGTGGCTAGTGTTTCTTAAAGTTTGGATAAAGAAACTGTAGGTTAATTGGAAAGAGAAGATGAATTATTGCAATAGATTGCAGCCAATCTGCTTCACAAATAAAAAAATTCTTAGAGGAGGAGCTGAGAATGAATGGAATTGCTTTTGCTGCTTTTGCCTGACGTTAACTTTGGCTTTATAAAACTTAAATTAAAAAAAAAGGGGGGGGGGGGGAATATCTCCAAACAAACCAACACAAACACCAAAGCTGTCAGGAAGGCATTCTCATAACTGAATTTAGCATCGCAGCCATATCTAGCTTCATTGGAATTTTTTGTCAAAAACATTGGGACTAGAAGGCTGGGGGTTTTCTTGCTTGTTTTAATTTTTCGAGTCACTATTGTCACTGCAGAGAATCTACGTACTTTAAGTGCATGAAAGCTGATTGTTCAACTTCAGAAGAAGGGTCCATGAACCCAGGAGATTGCCTCTGACACTGGCAATAAATACATGCCTTGTAAAAATAGAGAATCTTTATGATACTTTTCCTGAGTGCTGTCTTAATCTCCAATTTCAGTTCAGGGTATTTTTGGGACAGAGTTTTAACTGTCATTCCTGGAATTGAGGGGTTTTTAACAGAATGGGTCTTTTGTGCCTCTTGTTATGATTTTATTTCTTCCTTTATTCTTACATTGTTGTTACATGTTGTTACCCTAACTATTCTATGATTAGCTGGTATTCAAAGGTGAAAAAACCTCTGTACATAAAAAAGTAAAAGGGGAGGGTATAAGTTATAAAAATTATAAATTATAACCAATTTATAATTTTTTCTAATTGTGAGCAGTGTTGTTCAGGGGAGCCCTTTCAACTCCTCCTGAGTGGAAAGATGCATTTATAAATGGCCAGTGAAATGCATTCTTGGAGTTGTAACTGCTTCTTCTCACTTACCAGGTCTGGGTAGATCAAGGTGCACTTTCAAAAGAACTTCATTTTCGGTGGCTAATTTTATTTTTTTTTTTGACACAAAATCCTTGGTTTTTCCTGTGAATCTGCAAGAATGAATTTTCTTTTTTTCCTTTTTTTTTTTTACATATTCAGAATAATGTAGTCTGCCTGGCAGCCTGCTCTATTTTGATTTTTATATAATATGTGTGGTTTGCAATTCTGAGGGAGCAAGACATGATGTAGTTTTTTCAGTACTGCCTGTTGGAGCTTTATCTGTACTATAAATGTACTGTAAATAATACTGTAAATGCTAATCACTCAAGAGTTCAAATCCAAAAGTGATCCCAAATGGAGTCTATAATACATGCAGTGTGGATGGTTCAAGGTACAGGACCATGAAATGAACAGTCTAAATGTAGTTTAGGTGCCCTCACAGATTCCTTCTTATCCTTCTGCAAGTGTTGAAATAAAGCCGCTATATCAATCAGATTCAATCACATTTTTTTATGTCAAACTGCATGGACACTTCATAATTAAATTACTAAGTTTTTTCTGTAGCCATTTTTTTTGTAGTTGATGAAAACAGTGTGTGATTTATGGCAAACAGTGATGTTCATCATGTATAATTACTATCTATTTAAATAAACTTGAAAGCAGATTGATATTTTGAAGTACTTTCATGTAGCACAAAAGACTCAAAAATGTGATAGGCTGTTAAATTGGGAGTCATGTTCTAGTGAAACTTTTTTTTTTCCCCACTTAAGAGCTTATGAGCAAAACAGTAACTGGAGGTTTAAAGAAAGTACTTGTATTTGAACTTTTATGGAGAAGTTAGTTTTGTGTTGCGGCTCGGAGTATTACTAGATGCTGAATTCATTACCTTTCCTTGTAATATTTTTAAGCAAACTATTATGTTGGACAGTACTTCTACACTGCTGTTTGATTTAAAAGATCAAAGCTGTTCTCTGAAGCATTTTGATTAACTGTGAAGACTGGCTATGTTCAACACTAATAGGTATACTAAAGTGCTGCCAAGATTAATGTGGAGATGACCCTGTGCCTATTTTCAGAATCGCAGGGGGGAGAATTCTGTCAACAGTGAAGATGCATTTGATAAAAGGCCGAAGCAGTGGGGATCCTTTCTGTCAAGCAGTAGAGGAAGTTGTACAAGATTTGGATTTGAAGATTAAAAATATTATAGATTCACAACATGAAGCCTTGACTGCCAGCACTACTGGACTTAGTCCAGCACGGGTAATGGGACTTCTTTTGTTCTTTTTACTATCTAGCTTTAGAAGAAAGCAAATGTCTTTTGCCTGCTTATTTTTATATTTTAAAAGACTTTCTATAGAGTATTAACTTTTGCTAACAGTACAGAGCAGTGTCATTTCCTCTACATTGTGGTTTTAAACTTGTTGAAAGACTTATACTTGAGGATTACAGTGTGGATTTCAAAAAGCTGATTAACTTAAACTAAACTTCTTACCTCAAAATTGTAAATAAAATATTCTTCAAAACTCAATTTGTTGTACAGATGTTATAGATGTAGATACTTATAACCATGATGTTTGCCACTAATTGCAAGCCAACAGAGTTATAGATTTCCAAATAAAAATCCTCATGAAAGTGGAATTTAGATTTCAGAACGTGTATCAGTAATTTTGATTAGAATACACAGGTTTTAATTAGCTCAGCATCAATATTTCCAAGGGTAAGGCATTCAAAACATGGTTAAATAAGAATTCCAAAACATGGGAAAATGTGGAGATGGAGGGGAGTGAAAGTAGACCCCCAACCAACCAGTGTCTTTTTCCTCTATTAGTGTTTGAAGACAGCAATGAAACTATTAATGACTTTAGTCTCATAGAAAGAATTAGGATACTTACAGTTCTTTGTCAAGTGTGGAGAACAGAATACAGACTTTCTATTTGTGGGTTTTTTTTTTTTTGTACTTGAATCTACTCAGGTTTATGTTATGATCTCTTTTGTGATGAAAACATCAACTAGCTTTAATTATTTTATTTTACATTTTTGGTATATAAACTATCCAATTCCATGTATTTTTAGCTAGGAAACTTTTTTAAAACTACAAACACGTTGAATGTACATTATTAGAATGCTTTGTTTTGAGAAATCACTGGAATTACCTCATGGTAACATGAAATTTAAACAAATTTTAATCAGGTTTCCAGTGTGCTTTTTCTTCTGAGTCTTTCATCACTGTATTTCCCTTTTTCCTTATCATATCCTTCTATTTCTTTCTCTTTCCCATCTGAAATATTGATCTTCATCATTAGTTGTGTGTATTTAGCTACTTGTATTACCAATAAAATTTAAGTTTAGATATAAGTAATGTAAAACTATTTTACTAAAACTTTGCTCTTCAGAGAAATTAATCACAAAATTACTTTTCCAAAATGTTTCATGTTTTTTGTTTTCCGTAGTTCATGTTCGTAGTCTAATGACTGTAGAAACGTTTACCACTATCCTTGTTGAGGCAGAATACAGAAAAGCTGGTTGTATCCTGATGTTGTTAGGAAATGTGGTTAAATACTTAATTCCATTGAAAGCAATGTAAAGTTAATGTTTTTTTTTCAAAATGGGCACCTGAGGGCAGCTTATGAACTTAATTGTATTACTGAAAGCCTGTGGTTCTATGTTGAAGTTTTTGCCAATTCTTGAGTTTAAGTTGATTGCTGGAACATCCCATCAACTTGTGGAAGAGCAAATTCTACTGGAACATTTCTCAGTGAGGAAATTTGAGTACACAGCAGAGGATGACAGGCTTTAAGCTAATCCTTTTCACCATACCCAGTACAACACATCCATACTTGCCAAAGTATGGATGTAACTGAGAGCCATCAGAGGTAACTGTGGTCTGGATCTGACTGATGTGCTGCTTAGTTTGACAAATCTAGTGCTGTATTGGGTTTACATGGCAAGGTTTTGGTACTGGGGGGAGAGCTGTAAGGTCTTGTGTGCAGAAATACCAGAAGCTGGCCCCATGTCAGAGAGAGCAAGCCAGCTCCAGGATGGGACCTGCTGCTCGCCAGGCCAAAACTGAGCCAGTCAGTGCTGGTTGTAGTGCCTCTGTGATAACATATAAGAAAGGGCAAAAAATGCTGCACAACAGCAGCTGGGAGAGAGGATTGAGAATACATAAGAGAAAAAACTGTAGTCACCAACCTCAGTGAAGGAGTGGGAAGAGGTGCTTCAGGCACTGGAGTAGAGATTCCTCTGCAGCCCATGCTGAAGACTGCAGATGCAGGTTGCCTCCCTACAGACCATGGAGATCCATGGTGGAGCAGATAGCCACCCTGCAGCCTATGGAGGACCCAGGCTGGAGTAGGTGGATGTACACTGAAGGAAGTTGTGATCCTGTTGAGAACCCATTCTGGAGCAGGTTTGTAGCGGAAACTATAGCCCGTGCAGAGGAGCACATGCAGCAGATTTTGTGGCAGGACCTGTGACTTCATAGGGGACCTGTGCTTGGAGCAGTCTGTTCCACCCTGTGGAAAGGACTAACCGTGTAATAGTTCTTGAAGAACTGTAGCCAGTGTGAAGGACCCACGCTGCAGAAGTTTGTGAAGGACTGTATCCTATGAGAGGCACCCCGTACAGGAGAAGAGGAAGAAGCAGCAGCAGACATGAAGTGTTAGGAACTGACTGCAACCCTTGTTCCCTGTCCCCCATGCCACTTGAGGGAAGGAAGTAGAAGAGCTGGGAGTGAAGTTGAGTCTGGAAAGAAGGGAGGGATCCTATTCTGATTCATTGGCAATTAATTACATTAATTACATCAATTTCCTTAAGTCTGTTTTGCCCTTGGTAATTGGTAAGTGAACTCCCTGTCCTCATCTTGACCCCATGAGCTTTTCGTCATATTTTCTCTCCCTGTCCTCTTCATGAGGTGGGATAGAGCAGCTTGGTGGGCACCTGACAGCTAGCCACGATCAACCCACCACAGTCCTTTGTTGTGCCCAATATGGGGCCTCTTGAATTAGAGATAAAGACATTAACTGGGAGAGGTACTGGGTAAAATGTAAACTGAACACTGTTAGAGAGCAGAGTAAAGGTGGGGAATTTTTGTTTCTGTAATTGGTGAAAGGACAAGAGGTTGAGTGTGTGTAAATTGTCCACCTTTGTCAGTGTTGTGAAGCTATTTTGATTTTGGTGTGGAGAATAATTTTTTGTTCATGTAAATGAAGCTTGTGAAGATTGTGTGCTGAATGATATTGTAATGATAATCTTAAATATGTGATTCACAGAGATGAAGGGTGGAAAAGGAAGCTTAGGCAAATGTTAAGAGATGGATATCAAATTGCATATTTTAGTGGAGCTTGGTTGGAAGAACATTTTACTAATCATATAGAGGGGTAGGTTACTAATTAAAAAATAAAGCAAACAGAACAAAGCAAAACAGATTAAAAAAAAAAAAAAAACTACCTGTAAGTTTTCCAAATGAATTTGAGGTGTATAAAAAAAAAAATTGGAGCATCTGTATTGTTCCATTAAGATCTCATGACAGCAAAGATGGATGCTCTGTGCTGAATTTCACATACAGTTTGTTTTTTTGTTTTGTTTTGTTTTGTTTTTTATTTTATAAGGAAACTTCCAAACCCTGAAGCTGTAATTTTTCAGGAAAGAAGTTCTGGTTTTGTTAGGATGTTATGTTTTTTTTTTTTCATACATAAGAGACTGAATTGAGCTCTTTGAGTGCAAATTTAAAATATGATCCTAACTACAGCACTGAATATTATGCCTCCACTATCTCCTGGGAAGGCTGCTCCCTCATAAAATGTACCTGAAAAGAGTCACTTTGTTAGAAAAATATTTGCTTTTCTCCTGGCAGTGGCACTTTTCTTCCATCATTGCTCAGTTTTCCTGCAAATACCTGTTTTATAAGAAGCCAGAACTCCAGGAAAATATATGACTTTATGCAGCAGGAAGCACTACTTTGTGTTGCAGCCTGCATGAGTGACTAATAGGAATTATGATTAATTTCTTCCTGAGAAAATTACTACTGTAAATGGAAACTGGCTGGTGTTTCTGGAACTAACCAGAATAGTCTGAAGTAGCTAATGGTCACTACCCTTGAAAGACTGATCAACTATTTCACTGAAAAAGTAATTTAAATAATGAATACAAGCTTCCTAATAAACAAGACTTTTTATGGCAGGGATTGTTGTCTTGCCTGAAGTTCTTATTGTGCCTGGGACAATAGGATTTTGTTCTATGGCTAGTACACCAAGTCACTGTTGTTGTAGTACAAGAGATTTCTGAAGGACATCTTCTGGCAGTTAGGAGGTTATATTATACTCTAAAGATTATTTTCTTCCTTTTGTGTATCATCAGTCAAGATGATGCCAGATTTGTACTTTTCTCATTAAGACAATTTTACCATGACACATATGACATTTTATAAAAATCTGTGATGTGGTGATGGAATGACTGAAGAGGTTCAGAATAAACTTTGAGGAAATTAAATAGTACTGAAATAGGCCAATTCTGTAAAGCCAAGTAACAACCATTTCTGTAATTGCTATTTCTAGCTATTGATTATAACTTATACTAACTGACTGACATGTGTTGCTATGGTTTCTTGAAATCTACATACACTAATTGATGTCATCAAATAGAGAGAGAAATAGAATTTGATCTTTTAAAGTCTGTATTTAAAAGCAGTTAGCTGATTAGATAAATGCAGTTCATTGCTTATCCTGTCCTGAACCAAGTTAGGCTATCCGATGTTCCCATGTATTAGTAAGAACGCCTGTAGTTTTTAAAATCTACTACTGTGTGTTAAGCCCTAAATTTCTTTATGGAACTCTTAATACTTTTAAGGAAAAATACAGCAAACTTGCAATTCTTGCAGTCCCATAGTGGCTATGGAGTTCTACATCTGTACTGCTGACTGTAGCATTGAGCACTTCCAGATGTGGATTGTTATTTTCTTTAAGGAATTCTTTATTCTTGAGGAAAATCGTGAGGAATCTATCCTGTTCTGAACAACAGGAGATTGTGCCAAGTACCTCTGTTGTCAAATCTTGATGAAAATCTCACTTCTAACCAACTGCTTTAGCAGATTCAGTTAGTCAGAGGAGTTGGACTTCACCGGAATGTGTTTGTGTACCCCATAGCACTCAAATTGGTTGTGAGAAAATAATCATGGTTTCATCACAGATTTGTATATTTATCTGTGTGACTTGCTCATCAGTGTATACCTCCAGCTGGCAGCGATCTAAACTTTACTAATTACTTGGGATGAGCAAGAAACTTTCCCATGGGCAGTTTCCCCATAAATGCTTACTGTGAAAGGGAAGGAGAGTATTCTCACCCCTTGTGCTGATATGGGTTGCTTTTGGAGGTGAGCTATTAGTCTGGCTTGTTGACCTTTCCTGTTGTGTGTTCGTTTTAATTTTTTGCTTTCAGCCAAAATTGCATTCTGTAAATCATGGCACTGCATATTGTGGCAGAGATACTGTAAAGGTCTTACTAGTTCTTCTGGATGAAGAAGCTGTCAATCCTCCCACCCAGAACAAAGCAGAACTATTATATGACAATGAAAACTTAAATCTGTTTGGAATCACCTCTGTTTTGACACTCTTCAGGTGAGTACTAGAAGATTTCTTTTTGTGTTGGCTTTGTTTCTTTATTTTTAAAATCTTCTACTAAGTGGCTAACAAAGCATTGGTATTACTTCTACATAGCAAATGACCAAAATGCAGGCTATTGTGAGGTTAGGTTTCCCTATTTAGGTGTAAAGGGAAAGCATTCTTAGAACAGTCTGAAGTTCTCAAAACTATTCTACTTCCCCATTGCATTTTCTGTATCTTCAGGGTACTTTTGTAATATGGACTTTTTGAGCTAGTAGATTTCTGAGCTGCACAAAACCCACTGCAACAAATTTCCAAGTACTCATCTCTTGATTTTGGACTCTTAAGTTCAAATACTGTCTGTTCAATACCTAATTAGATTACTAGTCAATTTGAAGATGCCTCCTTTGTCTAGCTATGACACCAGGGATTTATTTTTTTTTTATTATTATATCCTTTGTTTTATCTACATAGTAATTATTTTGTAGAGACAGTGTTAAATAGTTTTTTCTTATCTACCATTCAGGATAGTATTGCACAAAGGATGATGAAACAAAATTACATGCATGAAGATTTATTAATCATGTCTGTAGCTGATGTCATAAATTTGCTTTAATGGTGAAAGATACTTTTCGACAACAATAAAAAGAAGAGGGAGAATAGAGGAAGAAAAAAACCTCTTCCTGGTGCCTTGCTGAGTGAGAAGTAAAGCAGCCAGGGTTCAAAGATAAGCATCCTTTGTAGTACAGTGGTTAGTTACCCAAAAGTCCTTTTCTCAAGGTAAATATATTGTCTTCATGAGGACCTGCTGTAGCCCTTTATTGGTTGTCCCTGCTTTTGGTACTTTTAGGAGTGATTGGAGCATCTGTTCATCAGGGCAGGGGCTGTGTGGCCAGTTGCTCATCAAGCTCTGTGCTTGCACAGTTTTGGGGCTCACCAAGATAAAAGATGATTTACACTGGAAAGGGTAGGAACACTGGGGAAGATGAGGGTGTTTCTTACGCTCATGGCAGGTTTTTCCCATGACCGAGCATAACAACACTATTGGGGTGTGGAGATGTAGGGCTGTGAGGATGACAGCAAGGAAAGAGAAAAACAGTGACAGGTCCTAAAACAGAAGATGGAGGATTCTAAAAGTCAAAGAATTCAAAGGTTTCATTAGATTTATCATTCAACATATTTTATGAAAGAAAAGGAAGCATATTCTAATAGAACTTAAAATTGGCTTCCCTAGTAAGAATTCCAAATAAACCTGTAGCTTTTACTATAAATGGCTGCTTGTAACAACATGTTGTGGAATATTTCTTTCACTTCTCAAGTATCTGTGGATAGCTGTAGTTATACATTTCTGTTTCATTATCTAACAAGCATAAAATAACACTGATTTTAGTCTCTTATTTTTCTATTACTTCAGATTCAGGAAAATTGCTTCATTAATTTAATAAACCTCTCCATGGCTGTATTTTTATCAGAATAAGGAGCTTGATCAGATTTAGGTTAATGCTCTATGTGAATGGAATCGAGGCCCACCTGAATTCTTATGAATTAAACAGTGCTATTATTCAGAGCTAGAAAACTTGATTATTTTTTTTTAAGAAATTCTAATTTAAAATGGGTTTAAAACCACTTATTTTTGAATAAGAGTGCCTACTGAGTGCTCTGATTTCATTTACCTAATTTGATTTTTTAGCTGAATTAATTTTCTTGAATTGAATATTCTTGAAAGGATCAACATTTGATTTTCAGTGTAGGTGTAAGCAGCTACTGCTGCTTGGGACTCTATATTGTAATCTAGACAATTCTTGTGATTTTACTTAGTTATTCTTAGTGGTTGATTTGATTTAGATTTTATTTTCCAGTGTGTGTGTGTGTATGTATATATGTATATTTAATATTAAATGTATGCTTCCATTTAAAAAATTGATTTTGAAGTAATTTAGTCAAAGTATTGAATTTATGATCCTAAATGTTTTGGGAATAAAAAAAGAAACTTGAAAACAACACCTGTTCTCAAATCTGTGTTTTTGCATTTCTCTAACAGCTTTACTGTAAGGTTCCAATTGCTTTATGAATGCTGAACACCTTAATACTACACAAGATATTAGCTAAGGTGTCACTCTGATTTGCAGCAATGTATCTCTATGATACAGCACTTTTTTGTTAATGCTTATGTCTCAAATATTTGTCTAGAGTGTTTGCAGACCTTTTGCCAATCTATAGTTAACAGTAAATCTGGAACAGTTTACAGGATAAATGGCACTACTTTTGGCAATAAGCATCACTGCAGTTTTCAGTCTCTTAGTTAATCTGATTCTGTGTATTAGATTGTTGGTCACCTCATATGGTAGTTATTCTTTTATGGGGTTTTATCACATGGTAGTTATTCTTTTGAGGTTTTTTCACAATGCTTTTTGTTATTTCTAGAGATTTCATTCCAGGAGTATCCCAAAATATGTTTACACTTTGTGGGTAGCTTTGTCTGGGTTCTGGTCAGTTGGAGAGATCATTGTCTTCAGGTGAAATCTGAGATTAAATGAGAGTTTCTCTTTCACAAAACTTCAGCATTTCAGGAATTCACCTTGCTTTCTAGATCAGTTGGGTGTGTTTAGAAATCCTGCAAAAAGCTACTGCTGAGAAGTATCTATTGTGTTGTTCAACTTTTTGTTGGCTTTCTTTAATTAAAAATATTTTCGTTGTAATTTGTGGAATTCATGTGTATTCAGGAACTGAAAACGTGAACCCTGACTATACATCCTTAGTAAACATCCTAACCAAAATGAAGCTTTTCTTATTTAATGCGTCCTTTAGTATATCCATCAAATATTTTCCTTTTGTAAGCACCTCATTTCAGTTTTCTGGAAAATATTTTTATATAATTAATGATATTATTTATTTTTAGAGTTAAATTTTGCATGACTATGGAATGAAGTGTTTTCATAACCTTTTTCCATAAAGGTTATCTTCCTATCCTATTAAAGCTAAATCCAGTTAATTTCTTTTCTTGCTTTTTAAGTTTCCTTCTTTTTAAGGAATGCCTGTGTTGATCTGGTATGCAGACCAAAGGATCTCTCAAACCCATTTCTGTGGGCACTGAAAAGGAAACTAACCTATCCATGTGCTGGAGAAGCAGTGGAAATTTAATCAGTTGCTTATTCTGAGGAGTCATCAGTTGATAGAAAAATGGGATGCTGAGAATTTAGTCATTACAGGTTACAAAGGCGCATGAACCAGAATACCAGTGTAGACATGGTGAAGCTACATGTTTTTTTGCAATTTAAATAACAAAAACACTGCAAGGTCCTGTAGAAATTTTGCACCACAGACAAATAGAAATAAACAAAATAGAGTGGGCTAATTTTTTTTTAATAATTGAGTAGTATGAACTAAATAAATGAAATGAGTTATTTTTGAAAAGAAAAAATAATGCCCTCATATGCACAGTCTTGCCATAAGCATAAACAGAGGAAGTAATTATTTACAGATGCACAGATTTGTTCTTATTTCAACCCCAAAACTCCTTTTTACATGCATTGATAATTTTGTTGCGTTATATATATAAAAAAAAATTCATTAATGTATGTAACTATTCACATACTGAAATATAGGAGGATTGAAGCATTTTGTTTGTTTGAGCATTTCTATTGAAAAGTCTGTAAATATGAGGAAAGTTATTCTGGATGTGAACCAGATGCTGTTCAAGGGGATTTAAGTAGGATGGTGACCTGGTAACACAACACCAGCATTGCAAATGATAATGTGGTTGCGGCTCTGTAATATTGTAAACATACTGCAAAATACCAGAAATTGTAACTGTAAGTTTGATTTCATTTTGCTGTCTTTACTTGTCACAGTACATGTGGTTACCTAAGAAAACAGAAAACAAAGTAAGGCTTGGAGAGCAAAGACACTTCCAGTTCCTGAGGGACTTGGTACGGTAACTGGTTTTCTTAATAATTGCATTTATACATTCTAAATACTTCTTATCTCTTTCTAATATAGGTCTCCAGCACAATCCAATGTATCTTCTCCAAAACCCCTTAGACAGCGTATTCAGGAATCTATGGATGAAAAAAAAATGAAGGTACTGTGTAGAAATTGCTATGTGACTATAGGTGTACTGAAACAATAAGGCTAAAATGAAAACAACTACATTTTAGCGTTACATTTTAGTTGAGTATTTGAGAATTTTAACCCATAGATAAAGAAATGTGATTAAACTGTGGTAATTAGCCCAACTGCTGTATTGTGAATGGAAATATCTAAAATGTAAGAAGAGAGAGGCTTTAAACTTAAAAGTACTTCCTAATGAAAATCTTGTACTGGAGATATACTGAATTAATCTCTAGCTCTTCATTTAACCATCTATGTGTTTCAGGACTATAGCAATAAGACTGAAGCCGTGTGAAAATAGAATTATTTTTGTTTGAAACATTCTGATTCCCATAATTTCTGATTCCCATAATTCCCATAAAGCTTTTCCTATGGCTTTGAGAACAATAAAATAAAGTTGCCAATGTTTGCTATTTTGTAGATGGAATAAAATGTTGGGAGGGTTGGTGTTGTGAGTGGCACTAATCAAAAGAACAACTTCAATGTTCCTGAAAATGAAAGTCTTCCAGTGTACTGAATTTTACATAGTCTTTTTTCCTCAAAATTGTCAGACTTGAGCATTGGGACTGTGGAAAGACGCAGAGCTTGTATCATCTACAGCATTTCAACAGAGAGCTAAATAAAAGTGACCTAATATTTTTTACAACTTTAGTTAGTCCTGACAAGAGGTAAACACAAATGTAGTTAGTATATAAGGAGGAAAACAGGTGTTTTAAGCCATTAGAATCAGTTCCAGAACAACACAATGGAAAATTTCTGCCATTGGACATGAGAATTTTAGTGTATTACATGCTTGAGAAGTAGAAGGTTATTAAAGGGAGTAAAATGACAAGTGCTGTCAGTATTTTCAGCAGTGTTTTAAATATACTCTAACTTGATTCTGAATGCTTTTTTTTGGAATGGGGGTGGGGTGGATGATGGTATTTTGGATACAGACACTAATTATAATGAAACTTAGCTTAAAACTCATAGGCAAATTAGGAAAGGTTGAAGCTGATACCGATCTTCATTATATTAATTTTATGATGAACAGCATATTTAAATGGCAGCTTTAAGTCATCAAATAGCAAAAATATGATTTGCTGTTTGCATAATACATTGAAATAGTTTTCTTATCTAAATAGAGGTTTTATAATTGGATTCATGAACAGCTGCGTTCAGTACCAAATTGCAAAATTATTATTTAAAAGTAATTACCTGTCACATTTGAGACCTTCACTGCAAATCTTACAAGGTTTTTGGCAGAAACTGTCAAAAGTAGGAGTCTTGAGACTGATTAATGTTATGAAACTATTTTAACTTTTTTGGGGAAGTGCTTCTATGCTAATCAAGAATACCAGATTAGCTACTGTAATTTCTGTGCAAATAGTAGTTCTTTCAGAGGTCTCTGAATAATTGAATGAGTTCTACTTCAGGAGCAGGATATGTATGCCAGAGGCTCATCTTGACACTCTTCTGTGCTGTTTTTGTTGTGCCTGACTCTAGTAAGGGCTCTGTGACTCCTATGATCCTTGGTAGTACAAGAATCTGACTTTTCCTGTAGGATTCTTGTCCTAGTCTTGCTTCACCATGATTGACAAAGTAACATAAACCTGCAGCAAAATAGAATGAAACTTCCAATGCTTTTAACCAATATTTTTTGATAACTTTCAGTCAAATTCTAGAACTGATTTTGATGCTCATCAGGTATCTAAGCTAATTAAAAATTTAAATGACTTTTTTTTTCTTCTGAAAACCAAAATTCAAAGAGAACAAGCAGCAGGTTTTAAGTCTGTACTTCACACTTGGAAACTTTCTTTGGCATCTTGGAAGACTGCAAACTTGCTTATAGTTTTAGCTTTTTGTATACCAAATCTGTGATGGTGGACTCTCTTCCCCCACTTTAGCAATGTGGATGGTAATGTGTGATTAACTTGGTAAAATGAATGGCTGTTTGGGGCTATACAACTTCTATCTTAGAGCAGCAGTATGGCTGTTGAACTGCCTCTAGTAATCACAGTCAGTCTTCTTTGCGGCTTTCTTTCAGTGCGTCCTATTGTACCAGAAAATCAAAGTACAGGATGAAACTGAGGCCAAATATCTCAAGATGTTTTTCCATTTAAAAAAAAAACCACTTAAAATAAAAATCATGCAGTTCACGGTGTAATTTTTCATCAATTACATATCGGCATAGTCTTCTTATTCAAGATATTTGAGTATTTCACATGATGTTTGTAATTCTATTTTTCTGTCAAGATATTTGAGTATTTCACATGATGTTTGTAATTCTCTTTTTCTGTGTATCAGCCAAACAATACCATCTAAAATACACTATATTCATGTGAAATCTGTAATTATTCTTCTGGCATTCCTGTGTTCACTTTAGGCTTGTTTCTCCTTCCTTCCAGTCAACTAAAGTTGCTGGTCCCAAACAACTAATGACTTGCAACTAAAACTCGGGTAGTTCTCTGTCATTTATCCTTGATCTCCATCTTACATAAAACCCTGCTTTCTTTCTTGAAAGAGCCATCTCTAATTTTGTCTTTTTCTGTTTTTCTTTCTACCTATCAATTTCTACAGATGTTCTTTTGCATGTTTCTACTCCTTCCTTTTCTTCCTTTTTCTATGAAGATTTTATAGGGAGGGCCCTGTCTTTCAGTACATTATTTGTGGATTAATACATTTGCAAACAGAATTTAAGCTATCATCTTTGCATGAACAGTTCACAGATCTACACCTGACCTAAGCATTTCCTCTGTAAACACTGACCTCTTTTGTGACTTCTATACCATTCTGCCAATATGCAGCTGTTGATCTTGAGGTGGTAGGTCTATTTTTCCCAATATATTTAACATTGAGTATGGTATCCTACCTGTTACTTTTTTCAGTACATAGTATCTCCAGAATTTATTTTTCTCTACCCGTATGTCCACTCATCTACAACTTATGAAATGTTCATTTTATGTGTGTTGTTCTTGGACTTGATAGCTGCAACTTTGTCCTGTCTCTCTTCATTTGAGATTGCTGTAAAAAAAGTTGTCAAAGTGATTAGATACTAGATGCCATTCTTCTATTTGCATCTTAATCTGTCCCTTTACAGTGTAGTGCATATAAACTACTTGTTTTAACCTATGCTAACCCATTGGCTTTTATTGATTTGCAGTTTAGAGATATCTGTCCTTGCTTACATTCAGCCTGCAGTATCAATCTTCATTGTTCATGTCTTAATTTTCAGACTAGCTATTTCAGCTGCCTGTTTTATACTGTTTCTTCTTGCTTGAAGAGATTTGCTATAGGCATTTGCAAAACTCATTATCCTCCTTTGAAACCTTTTTCAGTACCTCTAAATCAACCTCTCCCCAAAACCTAGCAGTAATGTCTCTTGGTAGAAATAAATCTTCTGTCTTTAGTATGCAGCACATGCCACAATAAATTCCTTGTCCATGACTGTAGCTCTCAAGTGCTGGATTAATATTTATCACCTTCTTATACTAAATATTAGTCTTCATAATTATTAATACAACCATCTTACAGGTTACTTGTAAAATTCGCAGTTGTAAATTTTGTTACGCATAATGCCCTCATTTAAACAATTGACTCAGAATGGGTACTGTTGTTTTTTGTTTGTTTTTTTTTTAATAAAACAAAAAATTATGTTTCTTCTCAATGTCCCTGATTATTCTGAGAAGTTTCTTATGCAGTGTGTGTGGTGATAGCATTAGTCCTATGAAATTGTCCTAACAACCTTTTTAACATGCTGCCTCTGACAGGTGGTTAGAGGTTAGGATATAGTGCAGATTTGTGATGTCTCATTAGAACCTGTCCCATAAAAGTCTCATTTTCCATGACATTTGGCAGGGGAAGAAAAACATGGTAGTGATGATTAGTTTGTATGCTTAGTCCCATCAGATGTATGTATTAAATAAAGAAGTTTAGGAAAATCTAGAAAACAAAAGGAGAAACACTTCCCCCCCAGAAAAAGGGGGTGGGGGAGGAGGGAGGGAGGAGAGGGGAGAAAAAAATCATTATGCCTTGTCCTTCCTTAAGAGGAACTGATCTCTTAACTCCTGAAGAATTATGTGGAGGGCGCAACATCATGTGTATGTGTTTAGTATCTAAAAATATGGAGACTGGATAAAGTAAATGAGTAGCTATGAAATGAAATTGGTGTTTAAAAATAAAATTAATCTGTGGGTATTTCCATTGTGCCAAAAAAAAAAATCCTGGCAACAGTGAAAGACAAAGAAATATTTTTGTCTTTCAATCCTCATTAAATACTGGAAGAGATGCAGAAAGATCACCTAACTATAATGGCATTTGTTAGGAGGAGAAGCTGTAGCTCTTATCCCTTGAGAAGAAAGAAGTCTGGGGAGCTAGCATGTTGCATTTTTTTAATTCCCTCTAGCAGAAGCAGGTAAGAGTAATAATAAGAAAGTCAATCTTCCTTTGAGAGACAGTTTCAAGTTTGTTATCTACGGTTTAAGTGAAGTGTCTTCTGGTGAATGTTGTTTTGTGGAAGGAGTCTTTAACTCAGAAAGGTCTATAGGAAGTCTATTGAATTGTGTCTCTTGTCAGTTGCCCTTATCACTCCTTTCCGCTTTATAAAAATATAAATTTTATATATATTTATAAATACAGGAGAGGTATTTAATGAAGGTTTATCTAAACTTATGTCTGCTTCTTCAAAGCATACTTGAATTTATATGAAATTGGTAGATACCCTATTGTTTGACACCTTATGTTGTTTATTTCAGTTGGGTTATGCAAATCCTTTTTATGGGGGGGGAGAAGGGCTGGTACAATCACTTGTAATCTTGTTTAGGCTAAAGAGCAACTTAAAACAAAAATGTTGCATAAGATTTTTGTCTGTCTTCTGCATCAGAAAAGATTAATTACAATTTTAAGTTGTATGTACTGTTCCTGAACTAATGGAATTGGATGAAACTGAACTTTAGGAGTTAAGAAGGAAGCAACAAAAACTATTAGGATATGAGCATGCAATATATGAGAGAGTAACAGATATATATTTTTTTTTTTTTAATTTAGGATTATTTTGGCCTTTTGATACATTGTTTTAGAAATCATGCTGCATTGTTAACACATTTACCCTGAAACAGCTGCAAGGACTTTCAGTAGTTTGGCATGTGTTTTTCTTCATGTAACTGGAGACAACCTTTCCTATATGAGGCACTATTTCCCTCCAATTGGGAACATAACTGTAGTTTTAGTTTTAAAAAGAATTTATGCCTTAAGAACTCTAACAAATCTTGGCATGCTTGAAGTTCATTGTAATTTTACTGTGTATAGAAATCCTTCCAAGAAAAAAGCTTCACAAAGCAAAAAATCCCTTTCTGCCTTTCCCATGCGACTTGTTCATGCCTATATGAAATGACTTAATAGCTAGCTTCATGCACTGCTGTTATTTTTCATTGCTTAGTTCTCCAAATGCTGTTACTTGAGAGAATTGTTTTGCCTATTTGTGATTCCAATACAAATAAACTGTGACTTGGAAAGCTAATAACAGGAAGTTATCAAGAGGTTTCTGTATGCCCACTGTAATTGTGAACAGAAAACTCATGGTATTAGAGAAAACAATCTTTCTCAGGTGGCAGTCTCATCTATTGTAGCAAGAAATATTTATTTATAAATGGAATATGATTATGAGGAACCCTAAGCTGACTTACAGCTTCAATATGTATGGAGTATGCTAAAAATGAGTGTATGGAGGAAGGTGTAGGAGAGGAAAAAAAGGTTATGTCAGCATAAAATCTGAGGTAAGACTTCTTGTTTCAATTGATAAACAACACTTGTCTAGAAAATACCGTTTTGTTTCTGCAAGATCCCTAAAATACTTTTCTAGTATCCATAGCTGTGAGTTCTGAATACTTCTGAAACACAATAATGATGTGATTTGAGGCTAAATGTTTTCAAAACAGTTGCAGGTTAATTTGGGATAGCAAAACGCTGGTACAATGTCATGCTAAAAGAAACTGATAGTTTCAGTATAATAAAATCTTCCTATTACCTGAGCTATTCAGGACATTTTTCATGCTTGAATAACATGATGCTTTGGTTTGGCAATGATACTTACCTTTTATTCTTTCTTTTGCATTCCCTTCTTTTTTTTTCTTAATTTTCTTTCAAGTTGCCTTTTTTTTTTTTTTTTTTCATCTAAAAGGACAAGGGTAAAGAGAAGATATTTTTTCTTTTTATCTCTTTTCCCCATCCAAATAGCACTCTAATTGTTTGGCTAGAAAATAAAAACATGTGTTTGTTGTTACTGATGTAGGTTTTCAAATTCTATTATGCCATTCCAGTGTATAAAAACCAAATCTCGACATTCTTGACTAAATATTGGCAGTACTGTCTGTATGCAGATGCTGAAAGGAGATCTGGAACAGATTATCAACTAAATTTTAGAAATAAATAGAGCATGCACCATTAATATTTCACGTAAAAGTGAATGCTTATATCTTGAAAAACAGAAAAGCTTCTCTAGATATAGAAATCAAAGTGAGAGAATGTCCTGCTTCCTTTACTCATTAGGATTACTAATTGACTGCGTGCACTAAAACAGTCTTAAATTCTGCCATACTTTCTTCCTGAAGAGCAGCAGTAACAGTGAACCCCTTTTTCTGAAGTGCAGCAGGATTTCTTCTTTTGTACAGGGATAAAAGCAACATCCCGTTTGCTTGTGAAGAGGAGAGGGGATACTAAGTTTATTGCATGCCATTTGTGTGCAACTACTTGATTAGCAAACTGAGCTCCCAACGTATTTTTGCTCTCCCCAAGCTGTAGGTCATTAGGCTGGTGCCCTCAAAGCAGTGGATTTCAGGGAATTTAATGTAAAAGAACTCTGATGTCTAAGAGCTATTTTAGGTTATTTATAGGCTTCATTATGTGTGCTTCAATAATGTTTTAAACTGCTCTTTTTTTCCTTAAAAACATTCCAGTGAAGCACTACTTTTTGATTTAGCACTGGACTTGCACACTTTTGTTCTGCCTTCAGTCCATTAAAAGTTACTTATTGCTGCCTCATTCGATGTAATGCAGTTGTTTTTACTGGAGAATATCCATTCCTGGACTAGTTGGGTAGTTTGACTGCTTCAACAAATTTAATTTTGCACTCTTGATTTATATATATCCTGTAGATTCGTATTAGCATCAGCTAAAACAGTCATATTGGTAAAGCTTTGTCTACTGTTTTGCGAATGATTAAATGGTATGTGATGCAATATGGAGTGAAGTTTGGAGGCCTATTTCAAGCATCAGTGAAGTTGAAACAGATGGGTTTGTGCAGCAAGTGTTTCAGTATTTGAGCTTGACTTCTGTCCTTTTACTCCTTTTTTTTTTTTTTTTTTTAATACGTGAAAATGAATTAGTGAAGCGCTAGATGGGTGATGAAAAGAAACCCTAATGTCCCAAAAACTAACTGGATTTATTGCCGGTTATAGAAAGGTAACTGCCAGGCTTTCTTGCACAAGTTTCATGGGTTTTGTGCTGTTTGTTATAGCTTCATCAACTCAACACAAATTTTAGCTTATTTTTGTCTTGCAATATGAATGTGTTAGAACTCTGTGCAAATTATTGCATATTTTTTGGTGTGTCACATTTGCTGAACAATAAATAAAAATTGAGGGGAATTTTAAAGATTGACGTGAAGCGTTTGAGAAACATAGCAAATACAGACAAATATTTTGCATTAATGTTACAGTAACTTTAAGCTTAAAGAATATGTAAACCCTTTATATTCTGAATATTGTAATTACACAATTAGATGTTCATTAAGTTTAAACTGTATTAAGGTTTCATGTTTAATTATTCCAAATTCTTAAGTTTATTCTGGGTGTAGCTTTTCCATCCTTCAAAACACTTTCTGAAAAGATTATATAGTTAATGGCATACACTGAATGACTTGGTGAGCTAAAGCATAAACTTGAAGCACACAAAGCCTTGTAAATGTCTATGCATATTGTCTTACTTTAAGGTAAATGTTTTAAATACAGAGTAGATTAACACCTAAATACTAGAATTGTTGAGAGTCAGGTTGGCTAGTTCTCCCTGTTAAATCCACCGTTCTTTCTCAGTCTGTTATCTGGCATTGATAAATTGTAGTTTGGGAGTGATGAATAACTGGGAAAATTTGGTCTCTAACTCTTGAAGGAAATGCTGAGTTTTAAAGTAAAAATATATATGTACAGTCTTATTAAGTCAGAAAGAACTGTTTCTGTCAACTTACGGGATTCCCCCCCCCCCCCAAAGTCTAGGTGTGTTCATCTGAACAGCTGTGGTTATCACAAAGAGGTACTTGGATTGGATCTCAGTGATAAAAACCTAGAGTCTGTTAGTTTAGCTTATATGCATGAAAAGAGTATTGATGAAAGTGGCATAAATTATGACTGAATTTTGTGGATGAAGGCTGTTGTGAAAGTGTGTTTCTGGGAACATATTTTTTCTTTCTGTCTAAAACAGATTTTGTGTTGGAGGAAAAATATTTCTATAAGGGTCAAACCCAAACACTAGGATTTTAACATGCTTTTGCTAAGAAGAAAAGTAGACTTGTATAATACAAACTTTTTAATCAGAAGTGGCTTTAAGCCTCTTAATTGACAAATCATTCCCGTTATTTGTGTATGTAATATTTCTTTTGTGAAAGTGTTTCTTGCTACTTCTTTTTCCTGATGTTTGTATTGTACCACCTGTTCAACTAAAATTAATTTTAATTCACCTGTGCTGTTTTAATAGAATTATTAGCCAAAAATCCTAATATATTGTAATTATCTCCTCTGTGCTGTACTTTTCAACAGATCTTATATAATCCAGTTGACTTTCAAATGGAAGTGAGGGCAGGATTTCCTTGCAGTCTATAGGATTTGTGACAAATTGGCTAGAAATACAAAGCTTGATTGTGAAGTTTTAAGCTGATATGAAGCTGTAGCAAGTGACAACTGAGGAAGTTTGACCTGTAACAGTAAATTCCATTAAATATGGATATGTTGAATATAATGAATAATTTTATTTCATTTTTTTGTAGTTGAGCCAAATATGTTGATTTGCCTGTGCTATGAGACTAGATTTCCTGCTTCCAAAACTAGGAGGTGGAGATGAGCATGAAGAATCAGATGTGACAGTGTTCTTTAATACTGTAGGTGTATGGGAACTTGTATTAGATGGTATGTTTTAACAGACGTGGAGTTAGACATTGGTATTCAACAAAGAAATGTCTTTGTTTTGTGAGTAAATGAGAAATCCATAATTTGCCAAAGAAAGATCAGAAATAATACTTTATATTCCAGTTTTTAGGTATAAGTATATTGAAGTTTAGTTTCTATTATCTGTCATTCATTTTCAGTATTTCTGTTATGCTTTCCCCTGTTTGAACTGGTGGTGAAACTCATCCTATACTTGACATTTCTGAACTCAAAGATGATGACCTGTAGAATTATGATAATTGACTGTAGCTGTGACAGCTGTTCAAAATGGTAGTCTGCAGTCCATCAAAAGAGAGAGCTAACTAATTTTTAAAGATTCAACCTAGGTTTTTTTGTCAATGTGTAACTTTGTATAAGAGATTAAAGAAGTTTTAAAAATTATTTTAGGACTTTAATAGAATAATTTACTAGTAGTATTGAAACCCTTTGCGCTTTGTAAGCTAATACTTCACAAATATATTTGATGTGAGCATACTCATTTTTCTGGTGGTTTTTTTTTTTTACAATCTAAGAGCTTTCATGACAGAAGTATGTGGAAACATTATATTACTGTTCTTGCAGTGCCGTCTTTTACTTTCATAAATAATTAAAGCTAGTACCAAATTGCTATTTGCAGATGAAGCAATCTTCAATAAAATCTCAGTTTGCATCTACATATAAAAATGAGTTCAGTGAAATAAATGGTCAACATTTCCTCAGCAGTAGCCAAATTCCAACCTGCACAAATCCTGCACCAAAGCAACAATTAAAAGCTGGATATGTCACAGGTAAGCTGTAGCAGGACTGTATAAGTAAATATGATAGCTAATATTTTAAGTGTTACCAAACAAGGCTTTAGTACAGATCGAGCATAAATGTTTTCAAGAAAAAAGACTGGCATTACTCTGTGTATGCTATGATCCGTTAAATGTCTTTGTATTAAAATTGTAATGCTAACACTTTGAAAATATAAATCTGCTTGAAAAATATGTATTCCTATCTTGAGGTAAAAATTGATACATTTTACATACATTGTGTAATGTTTTGTCTTATTTTACAAAAGTAATATAAGTGTAATTTGTATTTTTGCCATTAAAAAGTGAAAATTTACTTTTATTCCACTATGAATCAAATCATATATATGATTTATTTCTGGGGCCTTTAAGCATCGTTTTCAGTATCTTAAAGTTATAAATCTACTTTCCTAAGTTAGTTACTGTTGCACGTTTTTGAGTAGTGTAATTTTAAATTGGCAATGCGCTCACGAACACATAGCAAATGTAACTGCAATAAGCAACATAGTTTCGTTTTACTGATAATGCACTAGTTTTGATTTAAAAAGTATGTGATAGCCCTCTAGAAAAAGGATGAATAATCCCAGGTAACTTTTTATTTCTTCACATATGTTTTTGATATTCTTACATGACAGAAGGTATGAATTCATGTCTTGATGTACCAGTGCTTGGAACTATTTCTGAAAATGTTCACCAGACTAGAAGTTATACAGAAATGGGAAAGCTCAGTTGTCAGCCAAGAAACAAGAACTCCAAGAATGAACAGATGGATTTGAATAATGACAAAGTAATCTGTGATAAGGAAAGTGAACCATCTTTGCAAAAAAATACTAAAAGATCTAAGACTTCAAACAGTCCTCAGAAGGAATTGGACAGCAAAATCCCTGGCAAAAGAAAACACAGCAAAACTGCAACCAAGAATAAGCTGATTGCTGGTCAGGCAAAATTAACTCACTTTTTTCGACTGTAAGTTTTTGCTTTCGCATACGTGGTGCATTGACTGGCTCAGAAGATGTAAAATTTTGTGAAAATTTGGTGAAATTCACTATTGCTTCCTTTCATACTCAAATAAGTGGGAAGTACCTTGTGTGCAAAATTAGACAAATACTGGTCTAGATTATACAGAATTTTTTTATTTTTTGATAACAATACATCATTAGTAATTACAACTATGTTCTTTTTTGGTAATGAATTGTTTCCCACTACAATGTGATGGTAATATATTTTTGGATGCATACATATAGCCACACTGAAACACAGTAACTTCAAATTACATTAAATTCATAATAAAACGTTTGATCTTCAAAGGAGGTGCTGTAGATCAGTAGTTTTCAGACTTGCCAACAAGGTCGATAGACTCTTCCCAGCATACACCTGAGCACTATAAGGGCGAGAAAAAAATAGCTGGCAGATTAACTCATGAAAGAACTAGAAATCTTTATGTCCCATGGAAATACTAATTCAATAAATTTAACAAATGCTTCCTCCCTTGTGTGGCAAATCAGAATAGACATGGAGTTTCTAAATGAACCTTTATCAAATTGCTATATAGACATTGCATTATACTTTACCAGAATGAAATAATTGTTGTGTAAAAATGGAAATATACTTACTGTCAAAATCTCTTCTTCCTATAGGGAATTTAGCTGAATTTTCTTCATCTGCAGTCTCTCTTTCCTGTATCGATTCGATATTTTGAATTTCAGTGTCAGCTGGAAAAGCCATGGTTCTCTTCAGTGCAAGATAAGGTAGTTGTTTTCTACCCAAGTTGATTGACAAAACACGATTTAAGAAATCATGCCTGGAACCTGTGTCCTGTTTTAAGGGAAAACAAGAGTAGCAGTTTATCTTTAAATCGGTTGTGTCCACTTCTTATATTCCAGTTTTTATACTTAGCAGTGCAAGTATTTTATCTTTCAAGTTGATATTTTAAAAGTAATGACCTGCATTGCATCTCTGGCTGAAATGGTTTTATGGTAAAGATCATGATATAATAATGAGTCTTATATTTGGTGAAGTTAAAAACTTGTTGCTGCACATAGAGTCACGCTGAATCGCGTAAGTATAGGCTTTTTTCTCCCCATATTTTGGCTACATATAGTTCTTGTAAATACAGATTTTTTTCTATTCAACTGTCCAAGTTACACATTTAAAAATCTTGGAATTAGATACTTACACTTAAAAGTTCATTCTTGATTATAGTATGCTAAACTGATATTTTTGTATATTCATCAGATTATTGCTTTAAATTTTTTTTTTAAAGGGCTATAAAGAGAACTTCAATTTTACAATTAACCCAAAACATAAAACTGAAAACTCACCAAAAACTTCATCTTTTTGTCATCCTCTTCATCTAAAATGCCTCTGTCTTCAGTCTTATAATGCTTCAGCAACGGTATAGTGCCTCTGCTCACAGTTCTATCTCCATTTCGAAGAGCTTTTTCTAGATTTAATGTGGTTAGCAACATACCTTCATCTGCTTTTTGCAGCGATTTTGAAGCTGAGAGTTGAAAACCTTGAGAAAAAAGAGAAAGACAGAGAATTAGCATGTATGATGAGATACACATTCTTAGTTACTTAACTCTTGCATAGAAGTTAAGCAGTTTCCAAATTTCAAGAAAGCTTTTCCAGTTGTAAATTTATGCTCTCCATCTATGTCCACTTTATATATTGTACAGATTGAATGGAAACTACTTCAATGGATGATGACTTCATTCTTTTAAAAAGACTCTTACTAAGGAATAACCTTTTCTATAATCCTTCTAATCCCATTTGTTGTTTAGAACTACTTAAACATTTCTTTAGCATGGATAATTTGTTTATTTGTATGTTGGAACAGCACAGATTAGTTCCTTTTGATGAATCAGTATAACAAAGTTCACTAAGTGATGTCCGTTTGTATTCTTTATAAAGCCTTACCGCCAGTTAAGGCAATTTAAGAAAAGGAACTAATCTATATAAATCAGCATGGTTGTTGTAAAGGTGTGATCTGTCATAGTTTTTGATCAAAACTGATTCACTGAAGAGTTGAAAAGCTTAACATTTAACATCAGCTTAGACTGCTATTATGTTAGAGCTGAAATCATTAACTTGTATTTTGATATCCATTACCTCAGGTTGCATTATTCAGAGCTTATGTCTTGAAATCCTTGTTAATACATAAGTGATTGTATTTGTCTGCATTTTCTTTCTGAAAATGGGCCTTTCCCAGATACAAATATAATATAGTCAGATAAGAATGCTTGCTAAGAATGTAGAAAGAAAAGTGAACTTTGTCATTTAAGAAGTCTTTGAAGTCTACCCGTTGCCGTGATGAAGAAAATGGATGAGTTTCTGCAAAATGTTTTTTGGTTGGTGGGTTTAGTGTTTGGTTGATTGTTGTTTGTTATGTTTTTTTTTTTTTCTCACCTTATCTGGAAAGTAAATAGGGCCAGCTCAAATTTAACTAATTTTTTTATCAGTGGTACAAAACACTATTTAGTTGCTGTGTGACTCTTAGCTGGTACCTGTCTCTTAAATTTCTGACAGCAGGAAGAGTACAGGTTCTCCCTTGGTTTTCTTCCTCACACTTTGTTTTATTTTTTCTGCTTTTTGTCTATAGTGCCATACACTAGCAACAAGATTGAAATTTTAATTAGCAAAAGTGATTTTTTACAGTAGCTTTTTTTTTTTGTAATGATTGTCTAATGGTTTCCACTAGTGCATACCACTGATGTGGTGTGAAGGAGAAAGTAAGATTGATATTTAATAGTCTAATCAGGTTAATAACACATCAGTGGCAGTTACAGATAGCAAGTAGACACTTTGATTTTACACCTGTTACAAGAAGTCCAAGGAAGAAATGTGAGTGCTGCTGAAAGGTGTTGCACAGTCTTAGGGAAATAGGGAAAGAACAATGGCTCCTGCTGAAAACAGGCAATGATACAACACTAATACACAAAGTGAGGATGTTATGTAGAACAACTGACCAGCATTGTTGGAACAGTTGTATTTCTAATCGCTGATGACTGTTAAACTTCCTGGAAAAGCAGACTGCCTTGCCAAAGCAACCCTTCATGGGAAAACATGCCCTGGTGTATGAAGCAGATTTTGATTAAGAGACATTCTGGGTATACCCACTTTTGCCCAAATGAGGAAAATGCATTTAATCCTTTCTGGGCAGACCATCTCTGACAAATAGAGCTATTGCTTCTCATTCCTTTCATTTCATTGCTGTAGAGCCTGTACTTGCCTCTGGGCAATTGGAGTGGTTTCTTTTCTTTTACTTTAATTACTTCACTACAAGGGAGACAAATCTAAAGTCAATTGTATATGGGTTTATACTTCTCATTCAACCTTCCTTTGTAATTTGTATTCTTCCCTCACATTCAGTATTTGTACAGTCTTGTTAATTAATAAAGCAAAAACCAAATATGCTCTGTAATGGCAGTTTTCATTTAGCTCAGTTGAGGCAAAAAAGGAGCACGTTGGAGCTACCTTTCTTTTATATGTTGGCATTTGAATTAAGAGTTGGGAAGTAAGTTATCCACTCTGTAATTGTGTATGTGGCAATAGCTTCTGCTTATCAAGCTATGGTACCCACAAGTATTCAGCATGTATTGCATATGGCTTACTTCCAAACGCTTCTCTTTCATTTATTAGAAAGCACAGTTAGAATAAGAATTGACCCGGATCAATTAGAAAGTCCATCTAAAGTGTCTGCTTAGTTGTCTACTGTCTCTATAAGCTGATGTCTACAGAGGGATATAAGATCAGGGCAAACTTATAGTACTTCCCCCAGTACACTCTAAAGCTTCTTGAACTGGCTGTTAATTTTTAAGGATTGTTGAAGATCTGAGGTAGTTCTAGTAATAATTAGTAGAAACTCCTAACTGCTAAGAAATCAATAGCATATGAATGCATAGAATATGAATAGCATTAAATTCAGTGACTTTTCTGCCTGTTTAGAGCAGCAGATAACATCTAGTACACCTGCAGGTTTGTAATGCACTGTGTATGTCTCTTCATAATGCCTTTGTGACTCCCAACACTCTGTGTGCATTCTTTCCATTTAGTTTTGAAACTTTCAGTGCAAAATTAAGAACTTTTAATATATCAGTTTCTGTTTTATCATGGTTTATCAAATTGGCTTTTAATCATAAATAATAACACTGCTTACAGAGCAGTAATAATTATTTTGAGAAATTCTTCTTCCACATTGTGTCTTGATACGATAAAATATAAATGTTTAACATCTGAAATCTGATGTGGTATATGTATGAGTAAATAAAATCTAGGTGATAATGTGCCTGCAACGTGTCTCATACTCTATTTGAATCCTTCTAGGAATGGGATACAAAACAATTGTAATAATTTTATTTGGTCTTGTAACTACTCCAAGTTGCCATGTACAAGTGTTTGAGCCTAATGCCTAGTATTGACTGAACAATTAAACCCCCATATTTTATTATGTATCTTACATAAAGCCAATTTTTCTTTTTTTTTACTATTAACAGAATTGAAAGCTTTGCAGTGCAAGAAAGCATTTAAGCAACTTTAACAAGTAATTGCAATGAATCTTAAAACAGCACAAAAATATGTGGTCAATGTTAATATGCTCAGTAGCATGCTATTTCTGATTTTAAAAGGTGGTGGTTTGTTTTTTGTTTGCTTGTTTTGGTTGTGTTTGTTTCTTTGTTTTATTGGATCTTGTAAATTTCATACAAACAGCTACTTCAGTCTTTATTTCAGTTGGAAGATATTTGTCATTTGAACCAAGAACCACGTGTACTGAGACTTTGGAAGACTGATTTAAACCAAACCCAAGCTCTTTGCAATATGCTTGTTCATTTGTGTGATCCTCTGGTAGCAGAGAATGAAATATAGGCTGTCTGTCTTAAACCTACACAGGTCTTTATGTGCATGAGACATGTATTTCCAGGGCACTTAAAACTTTTGGGTAGTTTTGAGTAACAACATAACATTTTCTTATTTTAATAAATTTTAATAAATGATGTATTAGACTCTTGTATTAGAAAAAAGAATTTTGTGGCATTGAGATCTATTTTGGCAACAGTTAACAGTGTACATTGTACATTGTGTCTGAGACTTGTATGGATCTATTTTAATTTCTGAGGCATAAATATTTTTTTCCCTGATACTTTTTCTTGTAATCTTGCACGGAGTAAAAAAAAAAAACAACAGAGTGATGGTACTGATTTGTGCATTTTTATTTTTAGCAATGATACAAATGGAAGTAAAAAAAAAAATCCAGAAAGCATTTATTTGCAGAACTGCAGTTCCTTCTTAAGCCTTGAATAGGAAACATAGATTTTCTATGCTGGCTTTAGGCTAGCCAGTTTTGCTCAAAACTAAAACGTAAACAATATCTAGCAAGCACATTTGACAAGAAGCTGGCTGTAGTCAGTCATTAGGAAGTGATGAGGCTATGAGTTGTATCTGAAATCCCACTCCCTTCTTGGGTATTAGCTGTATCGCTTATCCATACATTTGCTCATTTTGGACCCAGAGCCTCAAACTTTCCTTGAATGTGGACGCTTTCTTTCCCTGACCTTAGCACCTCATTATAGAGACTGTCTATCTGAAAAGCCTGATTGGGTTAGTTCCAAACTAATCCCACAGTCAGGTAGAGATTCACTGTGCTGTTAATGGAAAGAACTTCTGATCACCAGTTCACAGGACATAACAAAGGTAATTAGTGCACTTCATTATTGACTGTTTGAAATGAAATTAAATGTAATTGATGTTCTTGCCTATCGTTGATTCACTGTTCCTCCCTGCTGAATTGGTAGTCACCTAGAATAAAGAAGTTGAAGTACTTGCAAGGCTGCTCATAACAGGACAGCTCTGGAGTTGTTCAGGAGCACAACTTTGATTTTGAGAACTTAAAGTAATCTTTTGTTTATGTGGCAGGAGAATGTGCAAGTGGGGATGAATCCCTGCAAATAAGGTGACTTTCACTGAATTTCTATGCAAGATCCAGGATAGCCATTTCAGTCCTCTGTTGAAATGTGTATGTATTGATAAAACGCAAAGTTGCATTTGTTTGTTGCAAATAAATTTCACAGTTGGAAAAACTTTAAAATATTTTCTGCAGTTTGTTATTTTGAAAGGAATTTCAGAATTTCATTTGGCAAAGCTGCATAGAAATACATATTTCTCATGGAATTCTACAGCAGGACACCTGCATGTATAGTTCCTTCGAACAAAAGACAATGATAGGTGTCCGTTCTTTCTTAGGATTCTTCCTGCTGAATAAAATGGTCCGTTCTTGCGGGAGTAACTTGCCAATACAATATGCTTTAAATTAATTGAACTGTTCTTTTCATTGTCTGAAAGCAAAAAAAAAACCCTGACTGTCTCTCCCCTCCCAATATCTAAGATTCTTATTCCAAGATACCTTTCGCAAAACCATCTACATGAACCTCTGTTAATGGATTTCCAATTAATCAGTAAAGTAGAAAGAGGAAGGAAGATTCCGTAAGCAATATTAGCTTCTTAAGAAAAAAGCAGTGGTGATGGTGAACATGTTGTATAAAAGCTAGGCAAAAAAAAAATTATAACAATTATAAATATTAATGTATTGCTTACAGCAGATTCAAATAAAACATAGATTAAAGATAAATCTGTAAGCACAGAGGCTTATTAGTATCATAACCCAAGCAATAGCTTTGGACTTCAGAGTACAGATGAAATCCTTATGTCATTTTTTAAGATTCATTAACCTCAGTCTGCCTTTAGAAGGCTTTACTATGTCTCCAAAAATGCCTAGCCTTTGTCTATGTCATCTTAGACAATGTGGTTTCTCTTCAGTCAATTATACCTTATCTAACAAGCTGTATTTTTGTGGTGGGTTGACCCCCGCTGGACATCAGCTGCTTGCCAGAGCTGCTCTATCACCCCCTTCCTTCTCAGCTAGTAGGAAAGGGAGAGGAAATACAATGAAAAGCTCATGGGTTAATATAAGGAAAGGAGCGATCATTCAGCAATTACCATAAAGGGCAAAACATTCAAATGGGGAAAAAAATAATTTCATTTATTACCAGTAAGAGTAATGACAAATAAAACCAATTCTTAAAACACCTTCAACCTACCCTTCCCTTCTTGCTGGGCTTAACTTCACTTCTCATTTTCCCTACCTCTTTTCATGCAGTGGCACAGTGTGATGAGGAATGGGGGTTGTGGTCAGTTCATCATGTCTCTGCTCTTTCCTCTTCAGGGGAGGACTCCTCACTCTCTTCCCCTGCTCCACTGTGGGGCTTCTCCCACAGATGACAGTCCTCCATAGACTTCTCAAACATGGGCTGCAGTCCAGAAGACTGCTCCAGCATAGGTTTCCTGCCAGCAAACCTGCTCCAGCATGGGCTTCCCATGAGGTCACAGCCTCCTTTGGGCATTCCCCTGCTCTGACAGGGATCCACAGGCTGCTCTGCCATGAACCTTCCTAGGCTGCAGGGGCACAGCCTGTCTCACCATGGTCTGCATCATGGACTGCAGGGGAATTTCTGCTCTGGCGCCTGGTCTCCTTCCTTCCTCACTGACCCTTGTGTCTGCAGGGCTGTCTCTCTTCTATGTTCTCATTCCTTTCGCTGTCTGCAGTTGCTGTTGCACAGGGGATTTTGTCCCCTTCTTAAATACATTATCCCAGAGGTGCTATCACCATTATTCATGATCTCAGCCTTGGCCAGCAGTGGATCTATCTTGGAGCTGGCTGGCACTGAATCCAGACATAGGGGAAGCTTCTAGCAGCTTCTCACAGAAGCCACCCCTGTAGCCCTCTGCTAATCAAACCTTGCCACACTAATCTCATCCAATTTTATATGTCCATCTTTGCACTTACATTTGTATTTCAGGAAAAAAAAAGTTTTAATTAGTCTGCTTTTATGTAAAAAATTGCATTTCTGAGAGAAGTTCCTAGTGCACAAAATTCTTGTGGATGAGCCACAATTTTTCTGAAACCAACCAACAGCAAGGACTTCTTTATAAGAATAACAAAGAAACTAGGGAAGACCCGGTCCCCTTTCTTTGCAGGCACCTGGGACAATTTCAGCCAATAAAAAATACAGGAAAAAGCAGGAGGTGCAATTGCAATTATTAACTTTATTTGGGCACTTGATATCTGGGAGAGACCATGAGCCTGGCTATCGAGTGCAAGTCTGCTAGAACTCCTGTGATTTCTACTCTTCACAGGTGCTGAGGTGAGTAGTTTGTTTTGCATAGCTAATACTGAGGCAAGAGAATTTCTTTAGAAGTATTGTCTCTTGAAAGTGCTGGGTCAATGCTACTGGAGCCATTAGTGGATCAAGACCTCTAATGGCAGTGAATACTACTGCTGGTACACTGTGATGGTAAGACTGACTATGGCTTGCATTTCAGAGGAACAGCAGTTATATTTCCAACTTTAAATGAAAGAAGTCTGGATGAGGTAAAGGAATGTTATTACCAATATTGTCACAGGTATTATCTGTAAATTCTATTGAAGATATATTTGTCTTACACATATATGAGTACAGATTCTTTTAGTGAACTAAATCCTCAGAATCTGTTTGCATGATGAGAACTGACTTACAGCTCACATGGGGCTAAATGGTGAATGAATCCAACTCTACCACAATTCTTTTTCACAGACCACGTGTACAGTAAAAAGTCACTTTCTAAAAAACTAACCAATTGATTGATTGTTACCTGTTGCTTTTTTTTTTAATCAGTGGTGTTACATTTTATTTAGTTCTTTTTTACTTTTAATTCCCTTTTAAAAGAATTGCGTTTTCATCTGATTTTTATCTATTGATGTTTTATGTTCTTATGGTAGAGTATAAGCCTCAGATTTTAAGAATCTTATTTCCTGTGAAGCAATAACATTGCATGATGAGTTCAGAAAGTATTTTAAACTGCTTTGGGTGTGAGATACCATCTTGGGACACACTGTACTGTAAGTAATTATCAAAATGATCACAAAGGTCAGAGATGTTTCCAGGAAGCCGTGATGCCTAAAGAGAACACAGAAATGCTCTAGTATAATTTTTACATGGTAAGCTGAGTCGTATACCTAAAGTGTTGGTCTGGGTTTCTCCTCCTGGGTCCTAGCACAAGGAATCAGGTATCTTTTCATTCTGTTATTGTGAAGTGAAATTCAAAAGCTACAAAGGACCCACCTGGTATTCTCTCTTTCGTCTGCCATTAGGAGTTCCTGATACTGACTGTTCTGTTTGTTCCAGCAACACTGTTTACACTAGCAACCTGCTCTAGTGGAAGGTGTCCCTGCCCATGCCAGGGGGGGTTGGAACCAGATGATCTTTAAGGTCCCTTGCCAGCCAAACCATTCTGTGATTCTACTCCTCCCATTCGTATTGTATTATCACTATGGTGCACAGAAGCTTGCAATATATGTAATCTCCTAATTACAGTAGTAGGTCATTATTGCAATGCTTATATTTGTTATCCAAGATCTAGGAGTGACATTATGATTTAGTGACTATTGTATCCTTGCAACGCTTTTTCTTGACTATCTGTGCCAGAAATCTGGCCAAATTGTACCTGCTTCTGTTACATCAATTACAGTCAGGTCTTTTTCATCCCAAGTATGTGAACTT